TCCCCAGTCAACGTAAAGCAATGCACAAGTAAACCTTTTGAACCCATGAAAAATAGCAAGCAGCTGCACCTTCTTCGACTTTTACTGGCGACAAGTAAGACGCAAAGGTCTGTCTGAAGCAAACAAGCTTTACTTTGGGCATTCGTTCATTTTTACTTTTCATGGGGTCTAATCGTTTTTCTTTGTTTCTTGTTTTGTTTACTGGGTCAAAGTCAAAAGCGTAAACTTGCCTGAATTAAAATCGTTTGCTGTTTGCAGTTTTACTGCTTTACTTTTCATCGGGCCAAGCTCTTTGCTTTTATATATGTTTGCTTTGACCAGTAAAAGTAAAAGGTAAGATTGCCAGAAGTAGAACCGTGTTCCTCTTGTTTTCCCGTGTGTTGCCCTTTCTGAACTTTTTTGGTTGTACGAGGCGGAATGTATGTTTTTTTGGAGGGGGGGTTCTACCACATATATATATATATATATGTATGTATGTATGTGTGTATGTATGTATGTGTATATATATATATATTTGTACGTGTGTTTGTCTGTTTACAGTCATTTATGATTATTAGCCTTATCATCATATTTATCTCTGCATCAGGTCTTGGAAGGCTAGGGTTTGCAGGTTTCATTCTTCTTTTGGCTCAAGGATGATCCAAAATTGGCTTTTTGACTTCTGGCGTGGGCGCTTTTTCGGCAAGTGTGACTTATCGAATGACAACTATCCCAGGAGTGCCACTCCTACGGATCGTCCGCTCCTCGCTACAGGCGCGTGCATGGTCTTCTGCAGGACTCCAACTTCGCTTTTGCCCTGGAGACGCTGGAGGTGCGCCTGGGAGAGGCAGGGGACTCTTGCGGCAGTCCGAGGACAATGCCGAGGCCGTGTGCTGCGGGTGAACTTGCTCACGGACACCTTCATGAAGTCGGGCAAGATGCAGCCTGGCAGGAGGAGTAGGTTGTTGGTTCACAGCGATCTCGCAATTCTGGCCAGACGGCGGCCCTGGCTTCATGGTACATGTACATGCGCCTTTTGCGCCCAGTCAAGGTCCGCTGTTACAAGGGGAAGCTCCCAACTGTGAGGGTTTCGACAGCTGGCGCTGGTGGAGGTAGTCGGGCCACAGTGGCCGCCCCATTTGCGGACTGCGGCGCCTCCCTCACAGTCCGAGCAGGCCATTGACAACATCGCCCCGAAAGTGGCTCAGCGCCCACACCTTTCTTTTTCTGGGCCAGCTTGCGTGAGTCTACATGGGAGCACGTCGGCCCGTGCGGGTGCTGGACATGACTGGCCCTGAGCACACTTCGGGAGCCGAACCCGAAGAGCCGGGGACATCGGCTAGAATGGCTGGGCCGCAGCATGGAGTAACCTGCTGTGGTTTCCAATGCAAGTCCTACAGGAGTGCGAGTTACGACGCTTGCTTCGTTCGAGAGTGAAAAATCTGCGGAGCTGTCAGTGTTGTTGATTCTCCGTGGAATGTACCCCTGCATCAGCTCTTGGAAGGCCAGGGTTTGCAGGTTTCATTCTTCAAGGATTGAAAAGGATGATCCAACATTCCACCCTGTTGTCCGTGATCATCCGCGCTTGGGGACCGCCTGGCGTTCCAGGATCCCAGCCAATTCTCTGCGTGGTGGGAGGTACTGCAGGAAAAACTGCAGGGTATCCTGAGCACACTTCGGGAGCCGAACCCGAAGAGCCGGGGACATCGGCTAGAATGGCTGAGCCGCAGCATGGAGTAACCGGCTGTGGTTTCCAATTCAAATCCCACAGGAATGTGAGTTACGACGCTTGCTACGTTCGAGAGTGAAAAATCTGCGGGGCTGTCAGTGTTGTTGATTCTCCGTGGAATGTACCCCTGCATCAGGTCTTGGAAGGCTAGGGATCATTCGCTCAAGGATGATCCAAAATTGGCTTTTGACCCCCCTGTCCCGGACGCTCCGCGCTTGGGGACCGCCTGACATTCCAGGATCCCAGCCAATTCTCTGCGTGGTGGGAGGTGCTGCAGGAAAAACTGCAGGGTATCGAGCACACTTCGGGAGCAGAACCCGAAGAGCCGAGTGGGTTACGACGCTTGCTTCGCTCGAGAGTGAAAAATCTGCGGAGCCGTGAGTGTTGTTGATTCTCCTTGGAATGTATATGTATATGTACACACATATGGGTGCGCGTGTGTTTTGAGGGTACTTTTCGGAGGGCCATTTGTTCTGTTTGATTTGTTTTCTCCCGTTTGGCGTGTGACAGGGCTTTTATAGCTTTTTGCGAGTTTCTGTGGCTTTTGGTGGCTTTTGGTGGTTTCGGCTTTCCGAACCCGCAGCACCAGCAGTAACTCTCCCAGCATCGACGGCATGCCGCCTCTGGCATACCTCCATGAGGAAGCCGCAACCACTTTGAGTTGATGTGGAGTGGGAAGCAGTTATTTCCACTGGAACCAGTTTGCGGGGGGCGTTTATGGAAAAAACTTGTAGTAAGATCACCCTATATTACATATCTTGGGAATTCTTTACCTGAAGCCCCGTGGCTGTTTCCACACCTGCAACAAGCTGAGCAACAAAAACCAGGGTCGAAGAGATGGGCTCGGTACCCTCCCCTTGGAACCTGCCAAGAAACGAGCTTGGAACATTGCCAGGCGGATCTCGCTGCAAAAAGGTCTTTTTGAGCCTGCGTCATGTTGTTTTGCTCGCCATTTGCGAAAACTTTTGGGTGTCTAAGTTTGGCCAAGGACATGCCCGTGTTCAGTTCACTTCAGGTCCCAGATGCTGCGGGTGATACCCCGGTGGCCCTGGCCATGAGGAAGAAGAATCGGCCGGGGGCCCCGGGCATCCGCGGGCATCCGCGGCCACGGATCGATCGGAGGAACCGGGAGGCGGCACTGGAAAGTCCGAATGCGCGAGTGTGGTTTGGTATGTGTTTTCCTTTTGGTTAGGGCACCCTCACCCGTATTGTTCTTTTGAAGTTTACTTTAGGACGCCAAAGATCAAACCAACGGGTCCTTTCTTGCAAACGGGCATTATTTTGGTTACCGATGTTTTTGTGTTTCTCCCTAGGGTGAGGTTCCTTGGAGCTGTTGTTTCATGAGCCTGCTGATTTGCGGGGGGGGGGGGGGGGGAATGCAAGCGGATCAATCTGGCTGGTTCATTTATTTGGGCATGGTGACAGAGGAAACATGTTCAGGAGGCTTGTGCAAGGGTTATCCTCAGCTGCAGACACCATACGGAGGATGCCCCACATGTGTTCAACTTGCTTTGCTGCTTCGGGTGTGTGAAGCCCAGGGCTGGTCCCCTAAGTTCCCTAACTTCCTTAACTTCCCCAACTTCCCTAATTTTCTAGGAACCGGGTGCATGGGTTCCCCAAGTTCCCGAAGTTCCTTAACTTCCCCAACTTCCCCAGGAACCAGGTGCATGCATCCTCGATTTTGGTCCTGCCATTCACTCGGCTGGTGCGTTCCGAGCATTCTACGAAAGGGGGCCGTGAGGTTGGGCTAAGGAACTTAGGGAACTTATGGGAAGCCACTGCTGGCCGCCGCGCAGAGTTGGATCATGTTGGCCACTGAGCTGCGAAAGATCCGTTGCCCGTGAGTGCTCACCAGCAAGGTGTGCTAGCTGCCAACGGATTACCAATGCGTCGAGTTGATGCGAGGAATCTTGCAACGGCCATGGCAGCGACGAGTAGCAGGAGGAGAGGCCGAGGCCAGCCAGGGCTGTGAGATTGCGGTGTCCGCGGTATGCCGCGGCAGGCGCATGTCTCAGCTTCCTCGGGATTGTGCTGGCGCTCTCCCTACGTTGGCCGAGCACGGCCGGGATCTTGGAAAAGTCTGGAGCAGCGCTTGCAAACAAATGGATTTTCGGTTTTCAGGAGTCCCCATTTGCCGCCCACGACTTTGCCGGAGGAGCTCGGCTGAAGGACCGTAAAGTCCCCGCCTTGGGATGTTCCTGTTTGTGCTGACGACTTTGCCACCGTGCAACGTGCTTTGCGTGGAGATCTGGACACCATGGGGACGAAGCTGCCGAGCAGACTTGTCACATACCTTTCTGTGGACGGGACTTCTTGCGAAGTGGCTGTGTGCTCCGCCGGGGTGAAAAGCCTTCTTGCAGAGAAGCACTATGCCGAGCTTGTGAATTTGTGGAAGGACCGACGCGACCCAAACTTACGATATTGGCTGGGATATTTTTCGGGGTTTGGCTCACCACATTGTGGTGTCGCAAGCGGCTTGAGACCTGGGAAATAGCGGATACAGGAAAAACAATGGCCTCCTGGAACCACGAGAAGGGCAAAGATTTGGTAATTCCTGGCGGCTTGGAATTGCTGCAGAGCGATTCCAACGACACTTTCGAGCGCAGATGGCTTCAATCCGTGAAAGGCGACCGGGCGAAATGTCTTCTGCACAGCCCGGAGCGCTATGCAGGCATCGACTACCTGCTTGACTTCCCGTGGCATCTCTGTGACAAACTCCCCGCACCACCGCATCAAAGCGACATTTGTACAGAGGCTGCGTGACATGTTTGAAGGCTGCAAGGGACAACACAAGCCCACCCTCTCTTTTTGGGTGACAGGAGACCCGCAGCAATTCAAACCGGATTCAGGTGCACAGTTCAACGATTTGATGGCGATGGCACAAGGGGAAGGCAGAGTGTTCCAGAATGTGTGTGTACAGGTTGTGCAGATTCCAAAGACGCTGGACAGACTGTCGGAAGCCTGATATCCTGAAAAAAGGGCGGAATGTGTTGAAACTGCGGGGGCGTTGAAAAAGGACATGGCCATTGCCTAAGTTTTGTGCTGGAGAGCATAGCCACTGCCTACAAATCATGGTTTTCACATCACCCCGTTCCAGTTCTGGAAAGACTTCGATGTCTGAGAGTGTTCCTGAGAGATAGCGGACATTACAAGTCGTGCGTCTTGAGATTTCTCCTTCGTTTTTTGAGTCTCCAGAGACCGCGCACAGAGAACCTCTGTGCGGGTTCCGTTGCTTTGCAACTTTTTATAGGGGGATCCTGAGGGCAGCTGTAAACCCCTTTGGCCGACCAAGGTATCTGGTGATGTCCTTTCACAAGTGCCAAGTCTTCCAATTCCTCATCGGCAGGCATGGGGTGACCGGGGTGTGGGACAAATTTGCGAGCCGCCTGGGCACCTGCTTTTACCTTCCCAGTCTTGCAGTGGCATAACGCTTCGTTTCCTGGTGGCTTCCAAACACATGGTTATGTGACCCCTTTTTTGAAACCCCGCCAGGGCCACCCAACAATTAGACCATATAGGTTTCTTGGGTACATGGCCCCAGCCCGAACCGAAAATGCCCTGAACACCATCCCGTGTTGTTTGGGTATTTTCCACGCATGGGTGGTTGTGTGTGTGCTTTGACAGACCTCATTCGTGCGTTAGCTTGTCCTTGTGCCGTCCCCATGATCAGGCTCGCCAAAGCTGGGCAGTGGGCCTTGCCATGAGTCCAACCAAGCAGGCATCTTTTGGTAGGAGATTCTCCAAACAAACATCATCTACACCTTTCCGTGTGTGTGTGTGTGTGCGTTTGCGTTTGTGTGTTTGTGTGGGAAATTGTTGCCTTCCGCTCTCGAATCCAGGGACTGCCGCACCAGTGTCTCAACCCACCAATTTGACGGATCTGCAAGCAACGCCAGGCCGCACCTGTCCCAGAACCACTTCGCGAATTTGTTTTTGCCACGCGCCCAGCTGCCGGCGCATGGTGATGAGCTGCTGCGAGCTGTGTATGTCCGACGAAGAAACACATGCCGTCCTTTTTTTCCCTTTTGCGTATACCGATTTCCAGTTCCGCAACTCGCCCAAAGCAGACTTTTCGGCAGCAAGGTCTAGTTGAAACTTGTTGGTAGACAAGAGCAGGCGCGGCGCGCAATAGTAAAAAACGAATTGACAGCTTCCTAGATGCCGAAAGCGAATCAATCGCATCTGACCTTGTGCTTTTCATTTTCGGTCCGTGTTGTAGTCCTGGAAACCCAGAATCCAAGCACCCATTGGTGCCCTTGACTCTTCTTTTGGGGGGGTTTCCCCTTAAAGTCAGTACCAACAGAAGTGCCCAGGTTTTTCCATGGCCATTGGGAGTCTTGGAAAAGGTGACCTTTTCTTGCCAGGCGTTTGGGATGCAAAAGAGGTGCTTTGAGACATTTGTTCCCTCCTTTGTGAAAAGCACACATTGGCAGCGAGGCTCAGTAGACTCAGGCCCGCTTTATCCATGAGATGCTCGACGTTAGTCCAGCGCATATGCTTCCCTGAGCTATGCTTGGACTTAGGAGACGGATTGCTTTGCTCACATCAGTTTGTATGGTGACTTGTCACAAAACATCTTGAGATGTGAGCCGGGGCCGTAGGCACAGTGACATTTCAAGACTCCTCACAGGCTCAAGCAGTTCGCTTTGAGCAGGCAATCCAGATTTCAGTTTTGAGGATGAACATGATGCAAACTTTTTAGAAAGTAGTGATTTGCATGATCCAGCTGTTCAACAAACAGGGATTTGCATGATGCCACTGTTTAGAAAGCGGTGACTTGTTGCCATGTGTCTTAAACGGCTCGAGTCGAGACATGAGGTGCTTCATCATCTTCAACATCATCATTTACGCCTTCATCGTTGCGCCAGGCCAGCCTTGGATCAAACAGCGGTGATTGGCGCTATGTATCCAAGGCGTAGAACTACGAGGGGAGCCTGGCCCTGGGGTGCTTGTTGTTTTGGAAGAGACGTCCAAGCATGGACCATGAAGAGTAAAGACCACGCCAGCCGCGTTCCAGAGTCGTTCCAACTCACAGTGTGGGGCTTGGGGTTGTTGGACGCACGAATCATCTTGCGCCACATGTCCCGGTACCAGGTTCGTTAGCCCCCCACCCAGCCCACCCAGCATTCACCGGGCTAACCCGAGTCTACACCCTGCAGCTAACTCCAACCTAAACCCACTTTAAAACAACCAAACCGCAACCAACCCTGTAAACCAAACCTAATCAACTCTGTTAACCGACCCTAACCAGTCCATGGGAGAAACGTACCAGCACGATGGGTGGGGCAGGGGTTGGACCTAGAACCTGGAACATGTCTACATAGTGTACTCTCTACACAGCCCTTATGTCGGACACTGTGTCTCGCGAGGCCCTCATGTTGCGACGCATTTGGGGCCGCCGGACATGAGCAAACTGAATTTCCAGCTCTTTTCGGCTTTTGACCGAACACACAAGCAAGCGAGCAAACAAACACAAACAACCAACCAAACAACCAAGCACACACACACAGACAAACAAACAAACACGAACACGCGAACCAACAAACAAACAGACAGACAGACAGACAGACAGACAGACAGACAGACAGACAGACAGACAGACAGACAAGCAAGCAAACAAACAATCAAACAAACAAAGAAACAAGCCACCCGCCTTGTGATGGCGTGCTGGTGTTGTTCTGTATTTTGTGGATTGCTTGTAAGGCTTTGGCATCGACCACCAACGGAAGGGCATTCTTGTGCTTCCCATGGCCACTGGACAAGGTCTCGTAGGTACTGCCTGCTGCCGAGGTTGTCATGAGACATAATGGTAATCAGTATTGAGGCATTATTGAGGCCGTCTATGAATGCACTGTTGCGTGCGCATGCAGCAGGCATTTGCTGAGCTGCCCGATTGATGAAAGAGAGAGAGAGAGAGAGAAAGAAGAAAGAAACTAAAGAGTGTTTGTGATCCACCACAGAAACTGCCGACTTCCGTAGTATGCGGACTTTTCGGTGATTGAGCCCGATGCGTTTTGTTTTGCTGGCTGCAGCTGCAGTGCTTTGTTTGCTCCTGTTAGGGGCCCTGCTAGAACCTGACCCCTCCAAGAAGGCTTGAAACGTTTCATGTGACCATTGTGACCTTAACTCCATGTAAACCGAATTTGCCAAAGTCAGCAAGGGTCCCAGTCATGTTGGTATTGTTGTCTTGATGCCTTTGGCTCTTTTGCATCACCGGAGGCCTCCTCCACTGTGGCAAGAAGTCTCGCTCGCAGTTTTGGTTTATGGGCCCAAAGAACTGGTGGGTCCCTTTTACGCTTGCATTTTTGAAACCTGCGCAAAGATTCGAAACAAGAACAAAGGCAACCCTGTTCTGGGGCAAGAAGGGGCTCCTCTCTATCTACGCATCAGCAAGAGGCTAAACTCTCTGGTGCAGATATATGTCTTCAGTGATTTAGTGAAATCCAAAAAGCCAAGTGTCAGAAAGCTTCAGACACGCTATAGTGAAACCCCCAAAACGGGAACTTTCCATTCGAAATCGCCCAAAGTGTTCTCAAGTTTTGCCGCTCGCTCAAATGACCCTTTTGGTGGTGCTTAAGGGGAAAACGTAAGGCTTCCACTTCTGTTATACCGCTGGGAATCGGCCTAGTCGTGAAGTTCCACTTCGTACGTGCTTAAAGGCGAACAGCCGCCCCTTCCAGTCTGCTGCCAGGAATCGCCGCGCGGAATCCTGACGCGGTGATGACGTGGGCCTTTCTGATGGGTGTGCACGGGGCCCCGGGATCGAGGCGCAGCAAGCGTTTTGCACCTTCAACCGTTAACAACAAACCAAGAGATGAGTAGGGGTCGGACAGAACCTGGGGGCGTCGGACAAGGAACTATAGTTATCATGAAACGTGATTGGAAGAGTTTGCCGTGTGCCCTTGTTGTGTTCCATGCGACCTTCTGTTTTCTTCAGTTGTTTTTCCCCACTCTACTGCGGTTTCAGTCCACCTGAAATGGCCGGGACTGGAGATCCTTTCAACAGGAAGCAATCACGCCGATTTGGTTGAACCACGCAAAAAAAACTCGGTCTCCCTGATTGCTTCATGTGTGATTCAAAGATGCGGAAAGACAGGACAATGCGACAAGGTACTGCTGCTGCCCCGTCGCAAGCCGCAAATTCCGATATCTGGGGATGAATATTGCCCGTGTGTGGCAAAGGGGCGTTTGAGCATTGCATTTGGCAGGGAGTTAGTTCATTCCAAGAGAAGAATTGGTGAAGATTGCATGTCTCATGTGTTTTTCCTTCATACTTGTTGTGAAGATCCGACTTGTTGGACACAAACAGTCTGGACCTGTTTTGGCCAACTAACTGCCTTTTTATTGGCAGGAAGACAGCCCGCAAGCTCTGCAGGAATTGAAACTTGACCTCCAACGTTTGCCAGGCGCATTTGTTCATTTGTTCTTTTCTTTCAGTTTGTTCAAGGGTGAGTATCACTGGTTGGGCCGCGTGCCAATGCCACGGATCCCGATGTGTCCGTTAAAGATTGAGACACCTCTTGGGGTGCCAATTGAGTGTCTGATTGGTGGGGTGTTTGAAACCCATAGGAGTCCATGATTTGTTGTCAGTGTCACCTTTATTGGTTTCTTGAGGGTGATCAAAGACAGAAACCTTTCTTCTCTTTAGCATAAACACTGAGGGTCTGACTTTGACGATGGTAAAAACATGTGGCCCGGCAAATCCGCCTTGTGGGGAGCGGGGTATGAACAACTGCAAGCCGGGTGGGTCGTGTACCCACGGAGTGTGTAAATCGGGATACGCGAATAGAATGAATTCGCCTTGCTTTGTGACTTGGGTGATTGAGGTCTTTGCTCTTTTGGGTGCAGGCGCGAGCGAGAGATGAGTGCATGAAGTGAAAGCGGGGGGGTGGCGCTTGGCCCCTGAAAACCCTGAAAAATGAACGAAAAGCCGTTTCTGTCCCTTGGACATCCACTGGAGCTCTGGGGAAGAATGAGCCCTCTTTCATGTAGACCCATCAAATCCGTTTAGATTTCGATTCTGCTGGGGGGGGGGGGGCAAACGCAGCTCGGGTCACTATAGGACATGTCAACATGAAAGCTAAGAAAGGCAGCCGCTCCGCCAATCTAAGGCGGGCTAGGGAGTCTCAATCACCACCAGTTTGTCCAAAGCCAATGAATGGCCATGCCCACCCAAGGAAGAAGGAAACAAAGTTGTTTGGCGGGAAACAACAACAACCGTATAATGCGTGCGGGAGAAGTTCATTCACTCACTCATGTGCTAGCACCTTTCCGCAAGTGTACATGGTCGGCATATTGCCTGGGGATGGTAAGGATGGACATGAACCCTTTGGTAGGGATGCTAAACTGCTGTTTCAATTTCTACGCAATATTAGTCCCGGATGCTTTAGCCTGGTAGATGAATGCGGTGTTTCCCTCGAAAGTGATCCCAGTTCTCCTCTTGAATGAGTTGTTACCCCTCCAGAACACAACCGATCGTTTGTTGAGTGAATTGGGTTCCCAGAATGTCGCTGGCCCACGCAGTTCATTGATTTTTGACCATGGCATGTGGCAGACTTCGTTGCTGGGGATCGTGCGGCTTGCCTTGTGCCTTGCGCATTGAAGGGCATCAGGCAATTTCGACAGAGCGGAGTACATGGGGCTTGTACTCGCCATTGGCTACTGGACAACAGGAGGTTGTGTAAGGAATCTACATGGCAAAGGGTCCTACGTGGCTATGACTTTGCATGATTGGAACACCCTTGGCCGTGGGACATAAGTTCTCGTTCCGATAGCCACCAAGCGGCCACGGTCCAAGTCCAAAACAAACAAGTACCTCGGCGTTTTCTGGACATAATACTGAAAGCACCTTGGGCGCGCCTGCGCCCCAGATTCCACAAGTATATGTGTCCAAGGGAGACCCCCCGATTGGCATTCCTTTCAACCAACCTGGCAAATGGTACGGAGCGTCAACAGATGCAAGCCCAAGTCGCCACATTTTGAGGGGCTTTCCACATGACTCTTGGGGAAGCTCGAGCTCCAGTACATGAACTTAAGTGGGAGCTATCGATTGAAGCCCCGCAACTCGGAGCGAGCCAGAACTGCTACGCGGACCCCGGCTGGCTCATGCCGTCGGCCCAGCTGCAGTGCAGCGAAAGGGACTGGGGCGAAAGGTGTCCCTAGTAGCATACGGGGTTGGCTTACAGGAGACCAAAGGAAAAGAACGTGTTTTGTTTTGAGGGCACACTGGTTTGCGCTGCTCCAGGGATCCAAAGTTGGGGACGCTTATTTTTTTGATGGTACCCTTTCTTTGGGTTAAAGGTAGAGGAAAGCCATCATTTGTGGGTCCTGTGCCCCGAGACTGTCCCTGGGTGGAATCGATCAGAAGCCGCCCAAAAAGCCACGGTTGTTCTCGCTCGACCATTTGCACAGAACAGTGTGAAAAGCAGTGCAGGCTCAGGCTGAACCGCCTTATGAGTCTGTTTCAAAATACTTGTTTCGGAGGGTCGGGGAGAAGCCAACAAAAATCCCAATGCCCTGGATGAGCCAGATTTAGACGGTTTTGAAGGGTAAGCAAGACGTACCCAAACAACAGGAGGGGATCTCCCCATTTTTTGCGAGAGATGCCCAGCTTGACGCAGCCGACATTGGACACCGAGGCCGCGGACAGTATATCCGCAACACTTCCTCCTGGGGGAGGACCCATCACAGCGCCTTGGTGTTGACGTGGCAACTGGTGGGCTGGCCTTTGTGAGCAGGAATTGAGTCGTGTGAACATTCAAATTAGTATATCTGGAGAACAACATTGATCAGAGGAATCGCCCTAAGATGTTGTTCGTACTAAAAGAAGGGACCACGTGGTAAGTACGCGGACGAGGGACATGCACTGCACCTTCCAAGTTTCCAGCCAGAGCCCAGAGTGCTTTCTTACCCGCATGTTTCAAAAGTGGCTCCTATGGTTTGGCGAAGTATTCCAAGCAAGTCGGATGTTCTGTTTATTTTGGTGGCTGCACAAAACAAGGTATTTCGCTAATAGACCAAGGGTTGGGAAGGTGTTTGTGTTGGTATGTGGTTGTTTTTAAAGGCAGCGGCCCGGCAATGCATCATGTTACCCCGGGGATCTGCGTTCTTTCAAGCAACAAAGGGAAAAGCCCCAAAGAATGAAGGGATTACCCACCAGAAATGAAATAACTGAAGGTCCGCCTTATTTATACCCGTATTTTCCTATGAATACGTTTAGAACTTTACATTAGTCCCACATGGGTATGTGTTGAGTAGGGCGCACGCCGCACAACATACTATGCTGGGTGTCCTTTCTTTGCCTTCAAAGCAGACCCAAAAAGGGGTGCTCTCAGCAAGAACTCACCCTTAAAAGACGGCACAGCCACAAGGGCACACTCAAGAAGAGCAGCCTAGAGTCCCAATGATCATATGTTTTGGAGGGGTCCAAGGCCTTCATATTTGGGTCTTGGGCTCCTAAAAAATATTGCTTCCATTTGCTTAAGAATATGTTTTATTTTCCCCTGTTGGTTTTAAAGGTAATCTATCACTACTGAACATATGTTTTAGTTTTTTCCAGGGGTCTTACCAAATGGAAGATCAGGGACACACCTTTTGCGGCAATTCGGCGAGTCGGCGCGCGGTTAGGGCCTTCGACGCCGAGCAGCCGGTGGAGTCCCAAATGGCCGGCGGCTGATTCTTCGGGCCGAAGGGTTTGGCGTGGAAGACTTCCCCCAGAATGGCTGCTTCGGTTTCCTTCGGTTGCCTTTGGTTTCCCAAAAAGGGTTCCTGGACATTCCAACGCGCACTATTTTCTTCTAGTTTCTGTTTTGCCTTGAAGGCGAATAGCAAAAAAAAAAAACGCGAAGGGAAGCGCAAGTTGCCACAAAAGCCTCGGCAGTGAAAGCCGCCGGCAAATGGCCCGCACACCGCCCCACAAAAAGCCGCACGACGCCCGCAAACTGATTTTGTTGAAGGTTTCCTGCAACAAAGCACTCAAACAAGTGCCGAGCATCAAACAAAATGGCGGGCCCATTTGTCATGGCAAGATCGTGTAAGTAATGCCATGCTGGCGTGTGTTCAATTTTGCGGGCTTGCATTTCTTAAGACCATGGTTGTGGCCGATCAAGCCCTTAAGGACGTCTGAAAACATCCCAAGAAGCATGACAACTTTTCAACCAAAGGTCCACGCGCGAATTGGCTCCGGTTTCCGCTTGGACACCAACTTGTGAACGAAATCATTAGACTGAACCAACCGTTTGAACCTTTTGTGCCTTTGTATGCCTTGGTCTTCCTCCGGTTCCCCCTTTCAACCAGCAACATGCTAAGACTTTTCTCGGGGGGTGGGTTTTATGTCTGGCCCAGCAAGCCGGAAAGGGCAGCTGCGACGTTGCAAGGTGCACTGCGACGCAGTGATGCAGGATTTGGGCCCGGGAGCCGAGGCTTAGCCCCCAAAGCGTCGTGGGCTTATCGGTGAACAAAACGGGCCCATAGCCTTATGGCTGGCTCGCCATTTTTGTCGGAACCCTTAAAAAAGGCTTCGGTTTTCCTCGTTGGTTTCCCTGAAAACACCACAAACAAGTGGTACCCCCCAAACAAGACACACTCACATGCGTTGGGCGGTTGGGCATGTGACATGCCCGAGACTTCGGTGTTGGCAAGCTTAAACTGACTAAGTTTGTCGCTTCTTTGGAGTGATAAGTCATGGCGGAGATCTCACTTCGCTGTAACAGGAAGGGGCAACGAGGGTTGGCCCAAGCCCCGAGACGCATACTGGGCCATCTGTTTTATCGTAGCAACACATGCAGCCAACCTAAAGCAGTTTCCCCGTAATCATGTGAGTAGTTCTGAAAAATGGTGTTCGTACCCCCTTGCCAACATTTGTTCATTCCTTCTTTCTTTCATTTTTTCTGGGGGGGGGGGGCTAGTTTGACTGTACCCATGTGTTGAGAACCCCACATGTTGAGCTCCGCACAATTCGCTCTCATCTCGCCCATGCGCTTGCGTTTTTGAAGCGCTTTCCAGGTGAGGGCGAGCGCCGAGAGCTCATGAAGCTGGAAATGGAGCAGAACAAGTGAGCCACGATCAGGTAGCCCGACTCGTTGGCGGTTTGGATTCGTGTTTTTTTTTGTTTTGTCTTTATCGGGTCCCCGGCTCAGAGGGTAAATTAGAGGGAAGACACAATCAAAACTTACGAAGCTTTTGGGTGTACCGCGTCCCGACCCCCCCCCATCAAGGGCATGATGGGGCGGAGGGAATTTGACACTCTTTCTTTTTTTTGGGCACAACCCTCAACTGGCTCAACAGTTTGTTGTAGTATGAGTAGAAGTTGTGCGCACCCCGCCCTGGCGATGGACACCCTGTTCTCCAGTTCCCAACAGGGCGGTGGTTGACCTCCAAGTCAACCAGCGAGAAACATTGCGTTCATTGCTCATGGAATCAAGGGGCGAAGTGATTGAACACGGTTTTAACCTTTAACAGCACGGCCGAAGATTTTGAGGGATCCCTGTTGCTTGGAAGGCTGGGCATCAGGGCGAAAACAGCTGAAACGGAACACAACAGCTGCACAAGCCGGTTCGCATTGCAGCCAACACCCTCCCATGTACCTTTCTGATTACAAGCCTGTTTGCTCCTCGCTGGTAGGTACAACTACCAGCGGCAGCTCATCCGAGAAGCCAGGAAGAGACTCGAGGAAGGCGCGGGATGTGTTGACGAGCCCCGTGCCGGCGCTTTTTTGGGAGGTGTTGCAAGCCAACAAGAAGCCAACGCCTTTTTTTCTTGCCCCCCTAAGTCCTCGGGCCGTTTCCCCCAAGCAACTTGCTGGTTTCCAGAGAAGCAGAGGAGAGGTGTGAAAGAGACATGGATCCATGTAGCCATGTCCTGCAAAGAGGCGCCTCATTGAGGGAATGAAGCAGTGAAGCAGCGTGCGGTGAAGGAAAGGTTTGTCTCTTCGCGAAGCTAGAAGTCAAATCGTTTTTTTCTTTTTTTCAGTGGATCAGTTGGGGGATTATTCGGTCATCCCCAAAATGTCAAATGTTCCTGCCTTGTTCAAAATCAACCCTAATCCTCATGCCAGGTCGTGGTTTTGTTTGTAGTCGTGTCCCACTATGGATTATGGCTTTCTCAGTTGCCCAAGACTGACCTTTTGATCTTTTTGTTTCCATGTTTGGCAGCCAGTTTTGTCCATTCCACGCAAACGGCGATCACCCTTCATTTCCTGGGCAAGTGAGCCCCAACTGACAGCAGCTCGTTTCCTTGTATTTTTTTGGCACGCATGCCATGCCTGCAGTAGACTGTAGTAAATTTGGGCCGTTGCTCATACAAATGTGACTTTTAAGGGGGATTCCCCGGTTTCTAAGATCATTTCCACTCCCTGCAAATCACTACCCCCAGAACCTTCCTGGCACATGGAGCCACTAGCCATTGTATAAAGGGTACACACCCCAATGTTGCCTTTCAGATAGTGGTTTGCTTACCCGGGACGTAGCCAAGTGGTGGTACAACCCACATGGTTGCAAGTCCCCTGAGTGGGTTATATTCAGGGTCACCATTTCACTAACTGCCAGACTAACTTCCTGGTTTCAGCAGGGGGTCACCCAGGGGAAACGCGAGTGGGATGGTTTGTGGAGGTCATCCCCTCAAAGTTCCTCGACCGTTGCGCCTTTTTCAGGTTGCGGCCTGGATCCCTCCAGCCCGGCGGTGGGCGCAGAATTGCAGCCCTGGGCCCTAAATCGTTGTGTGCAACGCGTAGGTCAGCGTGTGACTGTCGCTTTGATGGACGTGTTGCATCCTTTTTGGGACCGGTTTGGTGCAAGGTCGACCCAGGGTTGCAGAAGTAGAAACTGGCAGAGTCAAAAGTGGGAAGTTTCCTTTTCTCCTTACTGGGAGTCCTGTGGTCCGCCTGGTTACCAAGCTTTGCGGCGCCTAGATTTAGAAGAGCTGATTGGCCATTTAGAAACGCCAGTTCAAAAGGCCTTGGCATTTTTGGAAGTTTTCATCCGTCGAACATGGTCAACCATTTAGTTACCAGTTCCGGCGGAAAAGACCCCCTGCTTGCCAAGGCCCTTGATTGGCCCAGGCTGGGCCGGAGTCATGCTCGACCTTTTGCGATTTTCTCAAAGTCACATGTTTCATATTCTGAGGGTTGCCAGTCTCACTCATGAGTTCTGTTTTGATTGAGTTTTGCAATGGCGGCGCCCACTGAAAGGGCTTCTCCCCTTTTTTGGGCCAACCCCTTGCTTTGGCAAGGTCGCAGGTTGCTCTTTTGTGGAGTCTTCACACATATGTCCACAGTTATACAACTGTGCGCTGACACTGATCAGCAGTTCCGTAGCAGCGGCCACGGACAGGCAGCTAAGGCGGCAGAGAAGGAGAAGAAGAAGAGGGTTGCCTCGCAGCAGTTTGGACCGGCGGTCCAGAACTGGTGTCTCCATCCACACTGGAGAATTTTCGCGATTTCTCTTGCCCGGGCGTGCTTGCCTCGAGAAACGTGACCACCGTCAGCATCATCCTCTTCCCTCCTCTCTGTCCTTCTTGTGCTCTTTGTCCTTCTCTTCTTTGGCTGTCCTTGTTGCTCCTCCTCCTTCTCTTCTTTTTTCTCCTCCTCCGCATCCTCTTCCTCCCTCCTTCGCCTTCTCCTCCGCCGTTTTATCCTCCTGCGTTATAATGCCACACCAATCGCGGCAGCGTTCAGTATTCTTCCAAGAAGGTGGCCAGTTTGGGCTTGATCACATGAGAGACTCACTAAACTTCAGCAACAAACCACCTGGGGGACCTTCAACATGTCCACCCCAACAGCCAGGGGACGGGGAACACGCTTTGTCCCACGCTCATTCACATGCAATGGGATATTCTGTGCCCATTTTTAGATTCTGATGCAAAGGCGCCAGGCAATCCTTGAAGCATGGGGAGCTGAAGAGCTCAGTTTCCCCAAAGTCATGGGTTGGCTAATTTTCTGCAGAGTGTCGTAGAACCCTCAACGCCTCCATTTTTAGAGGAGTCTCCTTTGAGGCGCCCCCAACCCCCCCAACCCCCCCCCCGTCCCGGGGTCCCTTTTTGACGGCGAACATGAAGTTTACCCCTCGCCAGGCGGGGACAGCAGCGCTTCTCGTAAGGCGCTTGCTGAGCCCGAGCGGGGTCGGAGTGTGTTGTTTTGAACAGGGCTTTTCAATGGGGCAAAGTTTCACCAGGATATGGACCTTTCCATTTACCAGGGCAACCTATTTTTGGGTTATATATTCTTGACCACCCGTATTGCCGCACGTTTAAGCCGCCAGGGACCAGGATGGTAAAGTGCTTTCCATTCACCAACCCATTTTGGGTATATCTATTTTTGATCACCCATTTTGCCTGCCCCCTTGGCTGGTTTAGACATCACCTTTTAAGCAGAAAACAAGAAAGCACCTCAACAGCTTGGTCTCGCAACATGGAACCCCCTCTGAAATGGATGACTGCCCCTTGGTTTTGCTTTGACACAACCAACCCAGGGTGCCCACACCCATCTTCTGGATGGTTCAAACATCTGTTCGTTTGAGGGCCCTTCGAGGTGGGATCTGTTCTGGTGGTTCCCAACCTTCCTCCAACATGTTACATTTTGAGGTGACCGAATAAGCGGAGCCGAGTCTGAAAACATAGATTTGGCGTACGGGGTTGAAGGGTTGGGTCGAGTAACGTGTTGATCTCCTTTGGTTTCGCTGTCACCCGGCAAAACGGTGTGAGGAACGCTGGGTGCCGACATGTTGATCTTCTTTAAAAGCCAACCAAACGGATTTGTGTCAACAAACGCATCTGCAGGCCCCCAAGAAATCGCAGCTTTCCTTGTGGCTTCCCTTCAAAACCGCCGGAACAATGGGAAGAGCGAAAAGGCGCAGGCGTTTCCCCCTTCCCCCCCTTTCCCGCCTGTGGCCTTGTGCCTGGCGGGGTGCAGGCGCAGCTGGAACGCGCGGCCATGACGCTGCATGAGCGCGAGCGCGCGACAGGCGGGGCCTGACGGTTGCTGTTGATCTCCCTATTTGACAAATACCCACAAGACAGGGGGGCGCCTGAAAACTGATTGGCGTCCTTTTGGTTTCCCGTGAAACCAAAGTTAAAAGGGTACCCTGAAAACAGCTCACTCCCATTTACGAAAAACATGGGGGGAGGGTGCCATAACAAGGTTGCACACTTCGTTTTGGTTTCAAATCACCAAAGCAACCAACTGGTGATATTTGTCGGTCGTAAAGGTGATCTACAACTTTCAAAGTTGACCAATGCGCCTCACTCACTTCGAATCACTTGGGGCTGGGAATGGCATGGCGGTTTCTTGTGCCATGCCATGGTACTGTGCATGACTCAAAGTCGACCACTTGAGGTGAAAGGTCACAGGCCTTGCCTGTGGGCCAAGTGACCCCCGGTTCGCATTTACTCATCCACCGGGGGGAGGGGGTTGCCCGAAAAAGCCGTTTTTCCGCCGGCCCGATTTTGCTGAAGGGTGCCCCGCGGTTTCCCTTTCCGCCATGTATCCCGTCGGGCCAAAAAACCACCGCCAATTGGGAGCACCCAATTTCAGCACAGCAGGTGTCCCGATTTCAGTTTTGGGGATGGTTCCCTCCCCTTGCCGACTCACGGGTTGTCAAAGTCAAAACTTGGTGCCGTGGGATTGAATATGTTTCTTTCAGAGAGGCTTGACATATAATCTGGTAACCCAAAGGTGTTGATGGCTCATACTTTCAGGATCACGTGTAACCTATCGAGGAGTCCCCAGGTAGAGCAACTCTCATGGCAATGTATTTCTTTTTTGACCTAATAGGTTTGGCTGCCCTTATGAAAAGGCGATTTCCCTTGTACATGAATAGCTTATGGCCAATAAAGCAACCCTTTGCTTTGGGGACCCTTTGGACAAAGATTCCATGAGGATTTCCAAGCTGGAAACGCAGGCGAGAACTTGGGCCGCGCCCGCATCGAGCACCTGCTGTCCATGGGGCAGGGGGCCGCAGCTTTGAGAGATCCGGCCAAGCGCGGGGGGGTTTAAAGGGTGTTTTCTTCAGGGAAGCCGCAAGATGCAGATTTGTTTCCCAGACCTCCTGACCTTCCAGGGCTTTTGTTGGAGGGCGTTTCTTGTTTTGAATCCATGTCCAACGAGGGGTGCTCCCTTGTCCCTATCTTTTGAGGGCGTTTTCCTCTAGTCTTCCTCAGCTGCCGCACTTTGCCAAGCTCGAAAGGCCCCGGAATGACCAGATTTCGAGTACAGTAGAATTCGGGGAAGCTTGCCAGTAAGGTTTCACCAATAGGGTTTCCCTGTCCAATCGTTTTTTGTTTTTGTTTTTTCCTTTGGTGGGGGACCCTTTGAATTTGTTTGTTCGACTTCAGCTCCGCACTTAGATGGTTTGTCAACCATTCAACTCGGGTTTCGTCCATGCTGCTGGCTTCGCGCAGATATGTCCTTGGTGTCATGTCTCAGGTGTGGGGAGTACCTCACCCTGGTGGAGAAGGGCGACTTTAAGCAGGCCTGCGGGAACACAAACAAAAAGAACGCCTGCTGACCCCTGTCAAGGTGAGTTTCCTTTGGATGTATGAAAGTGAGTATGTTCAGGTTGAGGGTCACTTGAATGGACCAGAAGGATGTGTAAGGAGTCATGCTTGTGGAAAGTTGCGGGTGCCAGATTGCCAGCTACTGTGAGCAGCTAAGTTGGATGATCAGACAGTCATGGTGTTTAAACCAATCGCTAGATGGGATCACGAAAAGGGGCATAACGTCCACGCGCAAACTCGCTCAAGTTCCACCGCATCTCGGACGCTTGAAGGAAAAACTGCTGCCCAGGAGTCAGGAACTAGCAGGAAACCAGTTATTTCTTTTGGTTTTGCATAATCATGTATCTACGTGCGGAAGCATTGGGCTATGATATGTGTCATGAGCAGGGAGCACTCCAAACTGGTTGCAACTCATGTTGCTTGCCTTTGACGCTTGCCCCTTCACACGCCCTTTGCCAGTAGTGGGCTTCCATACCTATATGCTGGGCTTGCCAGTGCCAGCTAGGGTCCATTTGTAGAAACAGCTGGAGGATGTTGGGGTGGGGTGCCTCGAGCGTATGTATCTTATAGCTGGTTTACTTTTGACCATTTCAGGGACTGTTCTTCCACATTTGTGCCCGATTTCGGAGCGACCATGCCCGAAACCCCAGATCCACTTGCCCTTGCCGCAGTCCCAGATGCAATTTGGGCGACCAGGTCTGTGTGGTTTGCCGGGCGCGGCGGAAGATGCGGTCGCACCACTGCAAGGCATGGTGCAGTTTTGTGGGCCCAGCGTTCGGCAAAGACTTTGCTTATACTTGTTCAAATCCCCTTTGATGCAGTAACCCCCGTTCGGTTCCTTCTGGTGGCGGGTGGTTGTTTAAACAGTCTTTGCTTTGGGGCCAGAAATAGGCCCTTGCCAGCCAGGGTTGTGCGAGGGGGGTGGCTTTTCGTAAATTCATTTGCTGCCCTGCTTTGTCGACACGCATCCCTGCGCTAGTTCGTTCCCCCTTCCTGTAAGTCACTCTTCGGTGTGAAAATAAGACGGAGCCTCCTTTTTCCAACCCTCAAATGACGCGGACGTGAAATTCTGGCTCAAAGCCGAATTGTGGTCCGTTTGGTTCTTTGGGGCAGAGACTGCTTTCTGATTTTTCTGGTTCCCTCATTTGGGCTGCCAGGGCTGCACAAGCATGGTGTTCACACATTGGAACTGCGGTGTTCCGCCTGCGCAGGAATGCGGGCGATGCGTCGACCGGTTGGATCACCATTGCCCCTGGATAGACAACTGCACGGCACTCAGATTGACGATGCAGTCAAGTTGCGAGGGCGCATCGAATTTTTCTGAGAGCAGTCCCTGCCATGGAGGGGAGTTGTTGGAAAGTCAGGGGCAGTCGCATCCGAAAAAGTTAAGAAAATAATTGCTGACCTCTCCAACCTCCATGTTTCCTTCTTGGCTTCCCATGATTTTGCAAACCCAAAAGCTGCAATTTGGCAGTGGCTGGTGGTCCATTGTATGACACAAGCCGCTCCATTGCATGCCACCCCAATTGTGCGCATTAACCCAGCTGTGTGCGCTTTTTGACCCTTTAATCACCTTGGTTTGAAGGGAAACAGGAGAACCAACCCCTTGACATCCCGATGTTGACGTGCGCCTTTGTTCACAGGCCTTTGGGGGGGGGTCACAGGCGCCCTCGTTTACGCTGATTGGTCTCTTTAACCCCCCCCCCCCCCCCCAAAACACCGGCCATTGGCTCCGAGCCGTTCCTAATGGTTTGCTCTGCAGGAAAAAAGGGATGAACTTGAACAGGGTCCCTTAAAGGATAGATATTTGAACATGGCCGGTGTAGGTCTTCCCCACCTTTACCGGCTGATGTAAGGATTGAGAAGCAGGTAGCTCGTGCATGTCTCCTTCCAGGAGCCGTGTTGAATTCATTTCCTTTGATTCCCCCTCACCCACGGCCAATTGCGCCACCCTCCAGGGTTTTGGAGCAACCTCGTCAGAAGATGGAGAGGGGGTCATGTCGCGCCCACCCCTTGGGTGACTAAATCGCAGGATGCCGACAGTTTTGTTTGGAAAAGGGGTTTCGTTTGAGACCCAACAAAGGAATCGGTTTCCATGTTGGCTTCCCTTTGACACCATTCCAGAATTGGGTGAAGACAGGTGCCAATTTCAACACGCCTTCTTTTGGTATGGTCTTGCCTTGGGACTGAGCCCACGAGCTTTCAGGAGCCACCCCGTTTGTGGTCCTGTGTTTGTGGGCCTCTTGGGGTGACTTTGGGTTTTAACGAGAAACTCACTTCCTGCGTTCATGGGCTTTAGTCACTTCTGGGGTTTGGACCAGTTCAGTGGAAAATGACTGCACAGTTCTCAGACTTTTTTGTCACCAACTCAGGAAGTGAGGACCCCAACTCAGGAAGCGAGGAAATCGACCAGAAAAGGGACACCGACAGCCGAACTCCATTTGGCTCATCTTGAGCCACCCCGACTCCGACTGAGGCGTGGGCCTGGGGAACCAAAGGCGCGGCTTTTTGTTTTTTTTTTCCTCCGGGCCAAGAGGAGGGAGCACTCGAGCCGTTTGGTGGGTCCCCTAAAGACATGATTATATATTTAGACGAGCCACAATCAACCCCTGGATATTTATGAATTTCGATCAAGAGGTCCTTTAGATGGGATGAGCCTTGGTCGGAAAGTCACCAGACAGATTTGGTATGTCCCACTTGGGAAGAGTTACGCATTGGCCCATGGTCATTTGGGGGCTAGGAAGATTGATCAATTTCCAGATAAGGTTGGTAAGGGATAGTCTCAACCATATCTAGGTTTCTGATATCCGGCGTTTCAATTCTTTGCAGGGTTTTGGGCAACACCATGTTAATACCTGAAAGGCCTGGAGCAGGGTGAACAATGGTCGGATGGCCATGCAGCCTGGGACTTAGGTAAGCAGCTCCTTGGCGCCCTCAAGAAAGGAAGCCAACATGATAGTATTGAAACAGTGCTGTGCTTGGCCGTTTCGTTTCTTGTTTTGTTTTTTGTTTTGTTTTGTTTTTTTGTGAAAGGGGGTTATAAACTTTAGGTGCGGCAAGCATGTGTTTCAACATAAAGCTTGAATCGCCCTCATTTCTTCGCCGTTCGATAGAACTGCCAGGGCCTTCTTCTGTTTCATCGTGGTCCTCTTCGTCACCATCGCAGACTTCTACTACGGGGTCTTCCTGTGCCCCGAGTTGGAGAGTCGAGCATGGATTGCGCAAACTGCTATGGTAGGGGCGGGGTTAGGGCTTGCAAATGGGGAAGAGAGTCGTGGTTCCATGCCTGACTGCAAGATGATCAAGATTCACGAAGCAACTTATATTTTGAAAGGTGGAAGAGTGTTTGGTAGGAAGATACGCATCTTGCTCCTTGTTGCTTGGCCCTTCTGGGTCGGATGTGTCGGGAACTCATGTGTGTGTGTGTGTGGAAAAGCTTCGAATTTTAGGTACGCCTTCGACACCGTCTTCCCAGAGATCTCCCGAGGCGCACTGACGGTGTGCCAGGGAACCTCCAATCCGAATTCGTGAAGGATTCGTGAGTCAGTGGGAAGGCCTTTCGGAGCTATGGCAGAAGTGGACAATTCCAAGTGAGCTAACCTACCCTACTCTACCCTATCCCACCTTATCCTACCTTGCCCTACCCTACCCTACCCTACTCTACCCTACCCTACCCTACCCTACCCTACCCTACCCCCTGACTGCCTGACTCCCTGCCTGGCAACTGGCTGACTGCCTGCCTGACCGCCTGCCTGCCTGACTGACTGACTGACTGGCTGGCTGACTGACTGACTGACTGACTGACTGACTAAGTAACACATACACACAGACCGTCATGCAGCAAGTGAACGACAATGATCGTTACCCCGAGGTCCCACGCACCTCTAGCTGATATGCTCCAAGCACGTCCTCAGGTTGGACGCTTTTTGCGTTGGGACGGTTGGGCAACAAACAGAACCAAAACCCCTATTGGCCATTCTAGAAGGGAGTTCTACTACCTGGTTTCATGGGTGTCATATGAAAGCCTCTTTGAACCTCCATACACATGTTGGTTGAACCGCAAGCCTGCGCGGGTTTTGAGCACTGCTCTAGTGTTTTGCCAATGCTGAATACAATGTGCGCAATGTGCAACACATGCTTACAGCTCGTGTCATGGGATATTGCCTGTGTGGAAAAATATCCCAAGGCAATGTGGTACCGGCCAGATGGCAGCCGAATTCATATCTTGGTGGTTCCCTGCCATCCCCTTAGGTTTTCATGGTTTTGGGATCTTAGGGCTTAGTCGGGGCTTCCATGTTAGACACTGAAAGTTAAACTTTTGGCAGGGGATCTGAGTACAGCCCAGATATTGCCATACCAGCGTACCCATAAAACCGGAGGTTAAAGACGAGCCTAGTCTGAAAGTATCCATGACCCTTTGGTTCTTTTCAGGTTGTTTTGATTGTTCTTGCATGGGGACGCGCTTACTCCTTGAGTGGCTGGACTTTAAACATCTGGGAAGACCACTTTACCGGCAAACAGCAAGTTTGGACTTGTTTCGGAGGTGCTTTTGTAATTTCCTTTCGACACCAATACACCCTGGCTTGGGGTTGTTAAGCTTTGAAGACGGTTGATGAAATTCAAAGTGCATGTGTGTTTTCATGAGCGTAAGGCTTAAAGCGAAATAACGTGGGGTCACCAATCATTTGTGCGGTCCAAATTCGCGTTTTGACACATACTCCGACAAACCAGTCGCCAGGCTCCTTCGGGGAGCTGTTTCGATCGCTGACCAGCGGGTACAGAACTCAGTCAGACTCGTGTCTGAGATCCCCAGATAGCGGACGTTGAAGCTGTGGGAAAGTCATGTTAGTGGGAAGCAACAAATTTCTGACTTCTGAAGAATCCACGCAAGCGAGATCCGTCCCTACCGGTTTCCTCCAAGAGGCCCTGTTGGGACGGCGAAAGGAAATTAGCGGGACATGTACCAGGTTTTGTGGTTCCCTCCGTTTCGGTGCTGAAGTGGCCCCCTCGCAATCGGGGGAGTTGAACAGGCAAACCCTTTCACCAGCCAGGAAATCAACCATCCATCCAACCAAACCAAACAAGCCAAACCAAACCAAACCAAACCAATCGCCCAACCAAGCCAATCAACCATTCCAGCCCTCGCTGAACGACCAAGGCCTGCGGGGTTCCTGCAAGCTTCCAAACCTCTTGATAAAGAGATCAAGCTCAAACAGGAGGCTACAGGATTTTCCAAAGTACCCGCGCCTACCAGCTCCTGGTGCAACAAGTCACAGCTGAATTCCGCCAAGACAACCTGACAGCTGGGCTCAAGGTCCTTGGGCCCGGAGCTGCAGCCCATCATCGTCATCCTCACCGCCGTGTACGCTTCGGATCGCGGATCGCGGCTCGCGGGTCGGCCGGGTCGGCCGGGTCGGCCGGGTCGGCCGGGTGGGCCGGGTTGTCTCTGCAGGTCGGTGGCCCCCAATCACAGGGACAACGCTGCCTCGAGGGCTAGTATCGCTTCTTAGTGTATATAGTCCCGACAACAATCAATGTGTCTATTTAAGCCCCCTCCCTGTAGTATGGTAGGGGTTTGGAATTGATAAGAGATGCCTCATCGCGGACGCCAGAGGATATCAGGATATCTATTCTCGCAAAAAGTTGGAGCGGGCAAATTGTCAAGTGCAGAGAGCACCACCGAGGTGCAGCGCAAAATTAAGGACCCATCAATCCGCAGATATTGTTGTATTTCTACAAGCTGGGGGTCGGGGGATGTTCGATGTTTGAGCCACAGCCACCTCGTGGCGAGTCGCGAATTGATTTTAGAAAGGGGAGGCTTGTTGAACAATGGGTGTTTCTGAGCCATGAATTGCACAGGGAGATGAATGATCCAGCCCGCACAAAGTTCGTCTGACCCTGTAGGTTTGACTGCATCTGGCTGGTCTTTGTAGGCGCGCGCTGGCGGGGCATGGGATATGCCGTCCGCTAGCAAGGGTATCTGGCTCCAAACTAAGAAATTAGAGGGAAGCTGAATTTCAGGTGTGTGGGTGAAGAATGTCTGCTTGCAAGGCAGGGGGCTCCTGATCCGAGTTGCTTTTCCAGGCAGAAGGGGCCAACTTGATTTCTGACACGCGCCCACATGTTACATGACATCCTAAAGACTGAAGGCTGGCATGGGCTTGCACAAAGCTTATCTCCGGGTGAATCATCATGCAGGTCAGAGGGGGATTCACACATCCCACTAAAAGTTGTTCAGTCGCTGCCAGGCCACTAAATGAATCGCTGAGAATGCAAAAACTAGTGGCTTACCCCCTGAAACTTCCAATGGAGCCATCAAACAAGTTGCGCTCCAAGATCAATTCATGTACACAGTTGCTAGCGCTTCAAGTTGTTGGTTGGGCAACATGTTTCACGTGGGGCTTCTCCGAGGGGGTGCTGTTGGTTTTCCTTTGGCCGCTGTTTTTTGGGTCTCATGCTTATGTTCAGGAGAGTACGGTGTGAGACAAGCGCACTCTAAATTCATCAACGCCGCACACCAAGTGGGAACTTCAAGCTACAACTGGTTCTCGGTGGAGATCCTTACCTGCCCACCCACTAACATGGCAGCTGACAGCGCACTCCTTGAGGAGGACATTTATCTTCCGGGTACCCTTGCTGATGGTGTTCTTGAGAGGAAGGGCAGCCTATCTTGCAGAACTTGAAACTGCCTGATCTTCCATCGAACCTGGACAGATGGATCGATCTGGCTTCAGTTTGGTTTCACTCATTTGCCGGTGCCATCGATTTCCGAATTTGAAAGGGCGCCCTGAAGGCTCCGGTCGATTCTTCCCGACGAAAGGGACTTTGGGCTTCCGCAGGAGCGCTGGTCGCCAGACATACCGCGTACATGATGGTGAACGTGACCACCTACGAGGCGTGCCCGCTTGCAAAGGGGAGCCAGAAGTCTGTTTAACATGCACGAAGCTCAAAAGAAGCTTCTCTCGACAGAAGCTTCTCTCCCCCTTCTCTAACACGGTATCGCATACAAGTCTTAGGAGTACCTCCAAACTGCTTCGGTTGCCCCTCGACCCCCGTATCCATTCGCATATCAAAGGCTGCTGGAGGGCAGGAACAGCGTTGCTCCAAACGACCACTTTGATCTCCTCTGGCATTTTTCAGGAGCCGTTTTTCCAGGATCCCTCGTGCAGGTCGGGTCTTTTCAAGGGGATGCCTAGGTTCATTCCCCGACACAGGTGATTCCCTGACGACGGGTTTTCACTGTCGACTGTTTTCGCAAAGATGGGGGAGCTCCGTTCTGGTGGGTGTTTTGTGGGAACCAAAAGGAAATGGGCCGCTATTAGAGATCCCTGGTTCCGGTTCCGCGTGGCTGCTTGCAGGTGCTGGTTCGGCCGTCCCACGTGCAGCGGCGGTTTCCGAAGCCGGGCTGGGTGGTGTTGGACGGCCGAGAGATGTTTGCGTGCACGATTCCATTGGTTATTCACCCCCCAAATTGACCTGAACGCAGGGGTGGCAAGCTGCCCCACACAGGCAACCTCCAAGCAGGGCACTTCAAGGGGAGCCGGGTTTGAGTGTTCCTCGGCAGATCATGCAAGCCTATTTGCTTGTTTCATCAGAGCAGCTTGATTCATGGCCCCGACCCGTGCTCTTTGGTTGACCGTGAACCTTTCATTTGTTGGGAAAGATGATTGGTCTCCCACTATCCAACACGGGAGTTTGACTTTCGCTGGGGGGCAAAGACAAACCCACCAATGAGAGCCAAGGTGACATGTTTAGCCAAGCAGATGCTGAATTCTGATTGGTGAGCATCCTTAGCTTAATACAATTTCATTGACCTTGGGTGAGAATGAATGCCCATTGGGCGTCCATGGGGTTCTCAATTGCTACCTGAGTGTGTCTGTTTCTTGACAAAGGAAGCGAAGCCTTCAGCACACCCCGCGGCACTGAGAGACCAGCATGCGCTTTTTTGCCTACTCCCCGTCCCATGTCCCCCTCTCCCCTCACCCATCTGGCATGCGATGCGTCGATTTGCGGGCCAGGAACCGCGGGCGCTTCTGGTTTCTGCAAGGCACTGTGCAGTCGACTTGACCTGTGAGCCACGATCAACTGAGCTGTTCAATTAGTTTCTTCTTCATCCTTGTGCCAGATGAGATTTCCCCAGCAGTCTATGAGGGAGGGACATGGGGGTACTCACTAGATTGCCCACCAAAATCAGGTTAGTTCCGAAGTCCTCTTGGAAACAAACAAGAACATTTGACCCTCGCTCAGACGCCTTGTGGTGGACGGATTTCAGATTTGGATGTGTGATTCCCCGGTTTTGAATGACCCAGATCAAAGGCCACTTGAAGTTGGGAAAGTCAGTTCGAACCAGAAGATGCTGTAGCTCCCATATCGATTGCTTGGAGTTGAGTGACCCTCTTCAAATGGTTTGACGATTGCTCCGCTAGCTCTGAAGCCTGGTCCCCAAGCATGATATGCGTTCCCAGGTACATGTTCTGGGGTCAAAATGAGTGACATATTCTGACATGAGCGGTGACCCAATTGCTCAGTGGCGTCAACCCCTAGAACTGTAATGCAACCAAAGAAGGGCATCTGGTGGGAAAGCAATAAGAGAGATTCGTCTGTCAAGGCGAATCGCAGATATCAAACATGTCCAATACGGATACAAATATCATCATCCAACGGAGGTGGAGGTAACCACTACATTTCTTTCTTCAGGGCTGGGGACAAACATTCTAGCAATTTGCAACCGCAATCTGCAGCTGGCGTCGGGCCTTTGGCTCAAGAATTCAAGGCAAGTAAGTGCGAAAACCGCGCAAACCGCGGGTTTCACGTGCTGGTCACAGGTCGGGGGGGTGCTTGATGTTTGAGTCGCATGGAGGGTTCGCAATCGAGCAAATCGATAGTGACTGGCCACGGAAAGTCGCATCGGCATTGTTGACCAGGGGCCCAAACATGGTTGTTTGAGTCGGTTGTGTCACCCTTCTCAAAGATGCACTTTGCCATTTGCTGCCCTTGCAGCCATAGTGAACTCCTCGAATCTGGCAACCACGGGTAAAGGGCATCCTTTGAGCGCACCCTTGTCATGATCCGATTGAGGTTCTTGGTGGGTGCAAAAGCCCTCATATACATGTGGGCTTTGAGCGCATTGGATCGTATGTTGGTTGGGTCTGGGCAAATTAATTCGCGAACGCACAGGATGAGGTTCCTTTTTTTGGGGTCTATTTCGTATTTCAGATTGGGTGGCAGTCGGCTTCGCTTCACGTCCGCAGTCACATCGCCTCTGTTTCAACTGCACGACACCGATCTCTTCGGCCAAAAAAAGGGGGGGGGAGGGGCAAGGGATTTTGTTTGCACAAGTGGCAACCAGCTCAGCGGTTTGGGAGGCAACATGAGCAGTTTTCGTCCTCATAATGAGGTCCTTGAGTAGGGAAGAACTTGCATTATCTCGCGGAAAGAGACACTTTCCCACAGGCCTGACGCAGCCTTGTTTGGGGTTTACTTTTGACCATTGCCAGATGAAACTCACCTTGTTGCCCTTTTCCCTATTGGGGTTTCCCGCGTTTACTGCAGGAGAAAAAACAAAAACAAAAACCGTCGACTTAAACTTGACTTTTACGTCCTCCACATGAGCGACAATCAAAACCCGGGTAGATGAATGTTCAATCCCAACCATGAACAGGTGCTGCCGCGTTTTTTGAATTCTGTTCATTGCTTGGGCTGCACCTCAGTACCAGGTTTTGATTATGATTCACTTCCCTTTTGGGGGGTTTACCCGCGGGTTGCTTTGGGCGACCTCTTCGCCAACAGGTGAAATGCCGAGGCCGGGCGACGTGTGGCGCGTCATTTGACTCACCGTGAGTGGACCTGGTGTACCCTTGTGGCTTTAGACAAAGCGTGGGATCCTTTTGGACCGGGGCCTTGGGCCTTTTCCGGGATCATCTTTGATCTTTTTGACATTTTCAGGTTTACCAGATATGAATCAGAAGCCATCATGTTACCCTGCCTTTTGGGTTTGGGGAAAGAGGATTTGGGCCGCCTCTTGCTGTGCTGCTAAGGGAGCCCCTCTTCAAAGTCCTCTTGAAAGCGGGACGGGAATCCCACCTTGGTATAGCAAGAAAGGAACCATGCACCACAATGGCGCTTCTCCATTGGGGCAGTTTGAATTGAGTTGTGGGGTGATGTTTAAAGGGGACATATGGAATTGGGTTTCTCTCCAAACCGAGAACCGATTCAAACTGGGTGCTTTCTGTGTTTGCGTCGATTTCTCCACGAAACACAAACACAAAAGGTACCGGTAAAAAGAAAAATCAGCCCAAGGCGGCCTGTCTAAGCCATGGTTGCCTGCGCTTGAAACCAACGCTACTGGGCCTTCAGGTCATTGGCACGGCCGCCGCCGCTGGTGACCAAGAACCTGCCGAAGGCTTCGACTTGAAGCCGCGAAGCGTTCGGCTGCAAAGGTGAGGTTCGGTCGAGAAAGGGTGTGGGTCAAAAACAGGTACATAAAATGGGTTGCCCAGGCAATGGACACAAGGACTGAAATCTGCGGGTTTCTGGTGGGTTAATTCTGACTATACCCATATGGCGGGGATTCTCTCAAAATAGGTTTGGTCCCCTTTTGGGATGGGTTTTCAGGGGAAACCAAAAGGACACCAACTACATGGGGAACCAAAAGGCCACAAACTATATGAAGGAATCCATGATTTTGAGAAACACCCATATGGGAGCCTAATTTGTTTGGAGGGCGCCTGTTTTTTTTTGGTTGGTTCAAAGGGAGACTCAAAGGAGGCCAACCCCATTTCGTCGCATGCCAGATCTCTGGTCAATGGTCTGAGGTGGAATGGGAACCCAGGAGTAAGTAAAACAGCTCGTTGGCGAGCAAGTGCGGTTTCCCATTTGAGAGGGAACCCCTGACTTTTTGGAGAACCCCAACTGTGAATGGCCAGGTTGATTTGATTAATCCCACAAAATTGACATGGAATCCAAAAACTGAGTAGTGACTGAGTAGTGCGTTTGGCTCCCCGCCCGAGCCGAAAGAGCTCAGTGTTTCAAGCCCTTCTACGCAGCATGCCGAGGAGTGGAGGCAATTGAATTGGATATCTCAACCGCGTTCCACCTCCCCACGACCCAGGACCAAGAATCTCTGTTTGATACATGAACTAGCGGGTGTCCCATTTAGGGGCTGCAGGAATGCAACCCATTGTTTCGGGGTCAACATAATTATTCGTGGATCCAGCCATGGATCCGGCACTTCGCATCGAGCCAAAGACATGTTCCGAACTCGGGCATGCGGTTTGAACCCCCGGATCCCGCATGCGGTTTCTGGGCGCGGTCAGGAGGCCGCCTTTGACATCTCCACTCCCACCGGGCTGCGCAAGCCGGAGATGCAGGCGAAGCCTTCAGACGGGGGAAGCGCCTCTTGCGATGGGTTTTGTGAACTCGACCTGCATAAACCCCTCTGCCCAGTGGTGCCCTTTTTTCGGGTACGGGTTCCCTTTTAAACTCAACCAACAAAAAAAACCAGGTGCCCTTTTTCCCATGGCCACTGGGCATCTGAGACACAGCAAAAACACCATTTGCGAGGTTTGATAACCTCCTGAATTGTCAACGAGAGGCGGCCAAGCAGGGAAGCCAGAAGGAACCCAACCAAAAGGGGGGTCTTTCCCCATTTTGAGAGCACATCTTGGCTCCATCGGGGCGGCAGGCGTCGAAGCACTTTATCGGCACGCCCACAGTGGGGAAGCTCAGTGTTGCTTGGTGGGCTACTGGGGTTACCTGGTTACTCCCCGCCCCCCAAGAAAAAAATGGAATCCTCCAAAAAGTGTTCCGTTTCCCATCAGGTCTGCTTTTGCAACTGGGTGTGCCATTTTTTGTTTCCGATGCGACCGGTATATGGCGCCGCCCACGTGAAGTTATACGTCCTTATCAGTTTCTGGAAGGCGGAAGCAGTGATTGGTCTTGCATCCACAGGAGCCATTCTTCGCTTTCAGTGCTTGGGGCTCAACCCAAGCTATGACTCGTGCAAAACTTGGACCCACTGACCCACTCACCGACTGTATTGGTTTCCATTGGCTATTGGTGTGTGTCACTTATGAGGGTCTGGCTGCTTTTCAGGGATGGCAAGCAACTCAGCAGGATGGCCATTGTTCTGCAAACCTAACCAGGGACTAGCCGAGCAAATTGGAGGTGTTTCCGCACATGCCATACATGACACATATGTAAAGACATATGCATACTACAGTGCATACTATATATATATATTAGTATATGTTGCTATATTATGTTATGTTATAATTTATTATGTTATATTATATTATGTTCTATTATATTATATTGTATTATATGCGTTTGTCTGTGTAGTGTTTGGAGTGCTACTTCTACGTGTGCATGTGTGTGTGTGGCTTACGGAGTGTGTATGTTTGTGACCCATGTGCCTCATGTTTTGGGTTGTTTGAATGGAGTTCCATTGTGTAGCCACAGCCAAGTTCTTCGTCATTTAGGATTATTGGGCTAGAGGGTACATGCCCATGTCTTCTTGTTTGGCTGAGTTGTTTCTTCAAGCAGAGCCTCTGGATTTGGGCGCCTTCCTGTTGGCTTTGACTTCTCCGGCGCACCCAAAGCCGCAGAGGCCACAAGTTGTAGGCCATCCCCGTGCAAAAAAAAACATGACTAACCACTGCTATTGCTTAAACAACCTCATAGAAAGAGGACATGGCCCGGTTGAGCCAATCCTTCCCCAAGCCTACGGGTCTGGGCAGGCGACGGGCATCTTCAATGCATTCTTGGACTTCGACGACGCAGGCGTCGCGGCCCGATTGACCCGTGAGGAGTTGAATTTTGGGGGTTTCGGCTTCCTTGGTGGCTCCCCTTTGGCTTCCAGTTCTCCAAGGAACCCTACACCAACTCCAGCAAGTGACCAAACAAGGCAGCGTCCTAGCGGAGCGTCAGGCGAGGATGAGGGGCCTCCCTTGGAGCCGGACTTCGAGGCGTTCAACGCCTCCATGAGCCGAGGCGGTCGATTTCGGCAATTTCGTTTCGGGAGACGACGGAAGGCTTCAACCGCTGCTGGGTGGTTTGAGGGGGAAGTTTAAGCCGACGCATGTTGTTTTGGGAGAAGACGAAACCCTAGGGTCTCAGAACAGTTGAGAGCCCTAAGCTTCTAAAGGTCTTGGGCCCCATATGATTAGTTTGGACACGACTCTTTGGAACGAGCAAAGTTGGGGGGTGTCCAAGAAGTGGACTTAGCCACTTTTGACTGGCGAGCATAGATTTGTGAAGTTGGGCTCCCACCACTGAGCCCCTGTGCTCTGCAAGTCGGGATTTCCA